AGGCGGATTCTTAACCACTGCGCCACCAGGGAAGTCCCTATAATCATTTCTAAGTGTACAGTTCAGTGACATCAAGTACATTCACAGTGTCGTGTAACCATCAACATTATCCATTTCAAGAACTTGTTCATTATCCCAATCAGAAACTCATGTACCCATTAAGCAGTACCTCCCCATTCTTCCCCAAGCCCCTGGTAACCTGTTCTGCTTTCTGTTTCTGAATTTGCCAATTCTATATATCTCATATAAGTTGAATAATATAATATTTGGCTTATTTTACTTCGCATAATGTTTCCAAGGTTCACGTATGTCATAGCGTGTATCAGAACATCGTTCCTTTTTATGGCTGAATAATATTCTTTTGTGGATACACACGTGCACACACACACACACACACACACCACGTTTCATTATCCATTCATCTATTGATGGACACTTGGGTTGTTTCCACCTTCTGGCTGTTGTGAATAATACTGCTGAGAACATTGGTGTACAAATATCTGTTTGAGTCTCTGTTTTCCATTTTTTTGGAGTGTATGCCTATACCTATCCTATTCTAACAACTTTCAAATATATGCTGTAGTTTTGTGCTGATGAAAACACTTAAAATCACACCTCCAGGGCCTGGGAAAGAAAGAAAATGGGGACCCACCTCTCTAATGAATTCACAACAAAAGCAATACTTTGGAGCATTAGAATAAGAGGAAGATGATCCAGTTATTGTTTCATTTTCTAAGTTTATGTTTCATTAAGTTGCTGTTTCATTTTCTACTTTTCTTTCTTTTTACTTTATTGATTAAGTGTTTGGTTTGGGTGGGTGAAAATGTAGAGCCTACTTTCTAATAGTATTGAAATGACAGAATTGGTCTTACACTTTTATTCTCATATAAAAATTATAGGAAGGAACTTTAAAAACTAGATCTGAGAGTCAGTTGGAAAAGGAATGAAACAGGAAATTATGCTCATGTTACTAAGAAACGGCAGATCTTTTACAATAATAAGGCTCAATGGACTGAGGTGCTTTGAAGTTGATCTGTGATGTACAGTCTCATCTGGTTAGTTAATTTGGTTAAAGGATGTTGCTAAGGAGGCCGCGACCCAGTTTATTTTTAAGAATAATTTTGTTCACAGAGTCTCAGACTACCTGTTATCATTGCAGCAGGTAGCTGATCACATAGTAAACTAGGAAGCTCAATTCTATGTAAACTTAGAGGAGCAATACTCAATGGTGTCCCAAACAAGATTTGTGGAGTGTAGATGAACTACTTACCTCTGCAGCCCTCCAGTGATTTACCCTCAAACTCTGGAGACCCTTAGAGTCTATAGCAGGGCTTGCCAACTTTTTCTGTCAAGAGCCAGACAGTAAATAGTTCAGGCCTTACAGACCGTATGGTCTCTGTAGCAGCTGTTCAACTCTGCTATTATAGTGGGCAAGCAGCTGTAAGACAATATGTAAACAAATGGATGTGACTGTATTCCAATAAAACTTTATTACAGAAACAGACAAGGGGCAAGATCTGGCCAACCACTGCTAGGCTTTCTACTATGCAGTCGTTCATTCATTCATTTATTTAGCACCTGCTTTGTGTCAGGCACCATTCCCAGTGCTAACTGTACAGCCCTGCCCTTAGGGAGTTTACCTTGTTTCACGCTGCAGTATATTCTGATCTGCCTCCTTTCCCCTCAAGGACTGAACCAGGACTGGGGATTCTGGTTCTAGACCTCTTCACCTTGTTTTCCTCATCTGTAAAATGAAGGTTTGGGGCTGATTAAACTGTAAGGCTCCTTTCAGCTCCATAATACTGGTGATTGAGTGTCTTTAAAAGGAAACACACAGAATCCTGTGCGCATCAGCAGTTAACTTTTGCAGTTGCAGAAATTAGTGATTGCAGCTGAATTGACACAATAGTAACTGAAAGTATTAATTTTACTGGAACTTTGAACCCAATTTATTGTTATCTCTTGCCACGTCCCTGAAAGTACATTGAAATTAGATCAACATTTTAAAGTGTGTATCTTGAAAACGCCTGAACTACCTGAACAATGAATGAAAAGAAAAAAGATGAAAAACAGGTTAAACATTTTGCACTTAAATAATACTGTGTTAGGATGAACTTTATAGAGGAGCTAATAGCCAGGCTTCTATTTTTGAGATCCCAGTGCTTGGAAAGGTGCCCATATTTGTCCAGGATCATTCAGTGCCCTGGACCTTATTATCACTAGAGATTCTGATTCAATAGGTTTGGAGCACAAGAAGCTCTATTTTTAACAAGCTCTCCAGGTGATTTTGATGAACAGCTGGGTTTAAAGACTGCTACCTTATCTCAAAAACAGCTTTTCCTTTTTTTGATTTTCCCTTCTGATGAGAGGCTAAATATAGTAGAGGCAAAGTGGGTGAGTGAAAATGCCCAGATGGTTCCCACTACTTTTAAGCAAAGCTGAGTAAAAACAACAAACTTCTGTATGGTGCTGTATGGGTTACACAGCAGTTCCATATTGCATTTGGATCTACGCTTTAAATAATTATGATTATCAGTACCCCGTTTTACAGTTGAGAACACCGAGGCGCCAAGGAATTGAATGACTTGTTCAGTGTCCCTCAGCTACTGCACAGTGGCGCTAGAACGTCAGCTCAGATCTTTTTACTCCAAAACCCTGTTTCCTGCTCAAGTTGGTCAGAGGCAGCATGGGTGCAAAGTGGGTGTATATGATGGGGGTGGGGTAGTTCCATGGACTTTTAAAAAACAATTCTGTTTTTAAATTCTTCCTAGATCTTCTACAGACTTTTTTTTTTTTTTTTTTTTTTATTTAATCAGCAACAGTGACCCTTGATTATTTGCTACTAGGTCTCTGCTTGGTTATGTTTTCACCCATGCCCACCATGGACCCCATGCTAGGCAGGGCTAGGACTTCTGATTTCTAGTATCCACACTCCCAAGCCATGCTTGTGTAGCAGCTGTTTCGTATTGGCTTCAAATGTGTGTCCGAATTCCCAGTTCAGTATAAAACAGATCTGCCACTCGGCACGGCAGTTCCCACCATGCCATTCATGCTTACTTTGTTGTTTTGCATTTATTTCCTCTCGGGCATGACATGTAGAGATTGTATCGCTTTATTGGCTCTAACTTTTTCAGTTCATTCAAAGCAAATAGAGATTGGATGGAAAAAGTCAGTAACGTTTCCCTGCAATTTAAAGTTTATCCATTGTAGCTTAGAAAACAGTAAAAGCCAGCTGAAGAGTGGTTATAGGGTTTTGTGGGTATGGGCATCATCTCCTGCTGTCATCGTAGAATTTCGGAATTGAAAGTGACTGGCAAGATCTTCCATTCCAACTCACTTTGGTCGGGAAGACCCTTTATAAAACTCACGGTAGTTCATGTACTCTGTGTTTAAACATGCCGGAGCTCTTTTTTTTCCCCTCTTCTTGAAGAGAGAGTTTGTAATTGTTCTCATTTTTCCCGGGGTTGAGCTGAAATCTGTCATCTTGAAATTTGTACCTTTTGGTTCTGGGTCTCCCTTAAGGAGCAGCCACAGAAAACAAGCCCACTCCTCTTTCTGTATGTCATCTCCAGATACTTGAAGAGCCCCAGCTGCCCCATTTTAGTTTAGTTTTTTCTTTTCTTTTCTCAGAGGATCATTATCACTAGCTCTTTTGACCATTCCTCTTCATAACTTGACTTCTAAACTCTTTTCCAGCCGTCCTGTTCATCTTCCATTGGGAGAAACCTTTAATTGGTAGGGTTCCTTTAGCCGATGGCTCCCAAAGTTGAATGCCAGTCTATATTGTGCATTTGACTTTTTTTTTTAACCTCAAGTCAAAATGTGTGGTTTTTTTTCTTTAACATCTTTATTGGAGTATAATTGCTTTACAGTGATGTGTTAGTTTCTGCTTTATAACAAAGTGAATCAGCTATACATATTCATATATCCCCATATCTCCTCCCTCTTGCGTCTCCCTCCCACCCTCCCTATCCCACCCCTCTAGGTGGTCACAAAGCACCGAGCTGATCTCCCTGTGCTATGTGGCTGCTTCCCACTAGCTATCCATTTTACACAAAATGTGTTTTATCCCTGACAAATTCATCTTACTACTTTAGCCTAAATGAAAAATGTTAATATTTGTTTTGTGGTACAATATCCTAAGCACTCACTAGAGCACAGAATCATGTGCAAATTTCATAATCAAACGTTGATTTTTAAAAATTAATTATTTATTTTTAGCTGTGTTGGGTCTTCGTTTCTGTGCGAGGGCTTTCTCTAGTTGCGGCGTGCAGGGGCCACTCTTCATCGTAGTGCGCGGGCCTCTCACTGTCACGGCCTCTCCCGTTGTGGAGCACAGGCTCCAGACGCACAGGCTCAGTAGCTGTGGCTCACGGGCCCAGCTGCTCCGCGGCATGTGGGATCCTCCCAGACCAGGGCCCAAACCCGTGTCGCCTGCATTGGCAGGCAGACTCTCAACTACTGCGCCACCAGGGAAGCCCTCAAACGTTGATTTTTAAAAAACACTGAGCAAAACACAGAGCCAAAGGCAGTCCTTTGGTGGAACCTGGAAGTCTTCCCAGGATCCCTTGGGGACCATGGTTTTGCCTGCTATGAGTCCCTCATCCTTAAAGTTTAAAATATTTGTCAATCTAATGGGAGAAATATGATGTCATTGTTTATTATTTTTTAAAATAAATATTTATTTTGTTTATTTTTGATGGTGTTGGGTCTTTGTTGCTGCGCGCGGGCTTTTCTCTAGTTGCGCGAGAGCTACTCTTCGTTGCGGTGCATGGGTTTCTCATTGCAGTGGCTTTTCTTGTTGCAGAGCGCGGGCTTCAGTAGTTGTGGCACACAGGCTTAGTTGCTCTGTGGCATGTGGGATCTTCCTGGACCAGTGCTCGAACCCGTGTCCCCTGCATTGACAGGCGGATTCTTAACCACTGCACCACCATGATGTCATTGTTTTTAATTTGCATTTTCCTGATTACTAGAAGAGAGTCTCTTCATATATTTATTGGCCATTTGGGTTTCCTTTTCTGTCAGTTGCCCTTTGCCCATTTTAAAAATTGCTTTGTTTGACTTTTCCTATTGATTTGTAGCAGTTCCTTATACATTCTGAATACTATTCCCTGGTTACCTGCTGCAGGTATCTTCCAGTCTCTGCCTGTCTTTTTTTTTGTAAATTGTGCCTTTGGTGTAAAAAGGGTTTTGTTTTAATGTAGCCAGATCTATCAGTCTTTTCTTTTGTGGTTTGTGGGGGTAGTTTTGGTTTTTGTCTTGTTTAAGAAATCCTTCTTTAACCTGAAGTCATAATATGCACGCCTATATTTTCTTCGGAAAGTTCTAAAGCCTCACTTTTTACATTTAGGCTTTAAACCATCTTGAGTTTATCTTTGTGTACTACTACATGAGGTGTCTTTTTTCCATGTGGATAACGAGCTGAGCCATCAGCACTTATTGTAGTCCATTCTTTTCCCACTGCCATTAGAAGTTTACCTCACTGCCCACATCCAGGCCTTCAGGGAAGTCCTAGTTCTCTTTTCCATCTCAGCATTGCCATCCAGTCCTCTCTGGCTGTTTTCACGGTTGCCCTGATCCAGATGTTGGTTTCTTCAAGCTGCCTTTCTACATCTGCCTCCATATGTCCACGTGCCTCCATTCTGAAGCATCCAGACTTGCCTTCCTGAAGTAGCAGGTTCTAGGAGTGATTTCCTGGTGCCTCTCAGGACCATGGGTCTTGCCCAGGAGCGCTCTGAGAGTCGTTAGAGAGCTGCTCTTGCTCCTGGGGCCATGGGTCATGTTTAGAGGCCACAGGGACACCCTGGAAAAGACTAGAGGCAAGTTCAAATGAAGTTTGGGCTCCTGGCTCACATTGGTAAATTTGGGGTCACAGTTTGTGGTGCTCACGGTGGAGGATGGTTGCTGACCTTTCCCTCAAGGGTTGGTGATGATGGAAGAGCTCACAGGTCCCTCTCATGTGGCTCTCACGTGGAGAGACCAGAGGCACCAGGAGGCGGTTGTTGGAGTAGGATAAACAGTATCCCCAGGACTGATCACAGAGGACGGCTTGGAGGGGCTCAGCGGGTAGGTGACCTTGCCCAGTCCCCGGGGAGCCTCCAAAAGATGCTCTGGGGCCCGATGTCCGGGACCGTGCCAGAGGTTCTGGGTGCAGTGTTGGCGTTTCCAAGTGAGACGGCAGTCTCCTCATATTGCCAGGGAAAGATGCTGACCAAACAGGAGATCCGTATCTTTCAGGGCCTTCCTCTAATGGTTTCCTCCAGCTAATCCCTCATCCCCTTCTTCCCTCTGACCCCAACCCTCAGGCAGGCCAGCCTGCTGGTAACGCACGTGATGTGCCTTGCAGGCCTTTTTGCATGTCAGTTTCTCCACATCTTCCTTCACCAAATCACATCTGTCGTCTTCAAAATGATGTTGAGAACTCCCTTCACCCACAAAGCTTTCCCCAGCTCACTCTTCTGTTCATTGCCTTTGCTTAGCACTGCTGCGCCTAGCTCCGCAGCTTTCTTTTTGTTTACACTTCTATGTGTTAGTGTTCTCTTAAATCTTCTTGGGACTTTACAAGTCTATCTGGCCTGTCCTTCCTAATTACACTGTTTCTCAAGGACAAGGATTATATCTCTCTTGCCCTTTGACTCTCCCTAGTACAGACCAGTGCTCAGCACATTGGGTCAAAGAACAGAGAGTAGGATTGGCTGGGTCCAGATCGAGGTTTATCACTTGGTGTGTGACCTTGAACAAGTTACATAACCTTTCTGGGCTTCGGTTTTCTTATTTACAAAATGAGGATGATAATAGTACTTTCCTCATAGGGTTATTGACTTTGCAGAATGTCTCAGATGTGGTAAGCACTCACTAAATGCTGCCTGTCAGTATTATTATTAATATTAATGTTAAAATATTAGAAACCGTGCCAAAACATGTGACCTGAAGCGCCACATACAAATTTTACAGTTCAGCGATACTGTCAATTTAAATCAGCTAGATGTTGGCATTAGAAAATTTGTCTTTCCTGACCAAAGCGCTGTTGATTACTCCTGTCTCACTCATTTCCTCCCTCTTCCTTTGATAGGCAGGTCCACGAGATCCAGTCTCACATGGGACGCCTGGAGACGGCCGACAAGCAGTCTCTGCACTGTGAGTAATTAACTATGGAGACCAGAGTCCTTTCTCTGATGACACGGTGCTAATGGGCTGGGTTTCCTGACTGCGTTTCTGCCTCAGGGGCTTAATGATTCAGCGTGGAATGAGTTCTGTTGTTAGGGTGGACAGAAAAACCCTATGGCAAAGTCACTGATTTTCCTGATTGTGCCCTTTGGAATCCCACAAGTCTTATCCCCCATTACCCCTCCACTCAACCTGACATGGCCCTATGGGAATGGAAGTCCTTTCCTCCATCTGTCTTAATCTCATTACCTAGTCTGTAGAGGAATGTGGTCCATAAAAATTCAGAGATGTTTAACTGGAATTGGCCATTTCTTCTGAGCTGAGAACTGTGGCTTTTTAGGCGGATTATTCAGAAACGACGAGCAATATTAATTGGTTTAGTTCCCACACCGTGATTTCCTTTTAGAAGAGTGCTGCTTTCTGTGTTTTCGTTTCTTCTCTGTTGTAAGAAAAGGTCATTTTTCTGAGTCGGTCACACAGGCATTGCTGATCCCCCACCCACTGCAGATGCAGTCCCCTCCTCTCACTCCTCGGCTGGCGCCGTGCCCATTTCTCCTGTTTTCTCACGTCCGCTTTCTGCAGCTCCAAAAGCACCTGGTCTCTTCGTCCTGTGCCGCACCTTGTTCTGAGCCGTGCTCGTTAGCTGTGGGCTCTCCTAGGAAGGTGACATTTCTGTCTCTGCTGTCGTTTCTGTTTCGGGCAGGAGGCAGTCTGGACGCCTTCTGCGCAGTTCAGCTGCTTCTGTCCGTTCACTTTGTTTGCCTTCCCAGCAATCTTGTTGGTACATGATTAGAAATGGAAAAGTGGTCATTTTGACTGTTTATCGAAAGGGATAAGGTAAATGACTGTATTTATCATATCGTTACCTCTGTGGATTCTTTCCTGTTGATATTCGGTCTATTCTGGGGACTCCAACATCAGTCTGCCCATTCTTAAGGGAACTCTTCTCTATGTTTCACATACTAAATCTTTCCCTTTGCGCTTTTTTTTTTTAACCTCATTATGTTCTGTGGGGAGTTCAGTTGGCAGTCTTTCTACGAGGTATTTATAACCCATATCTGAAAATAATCTCAAATGAAAAGAGGCCTCACTTTGTATCAGAAAATATTACATTTTGCTTAAAATATTTATTTGGACAATCTTTAAATGTTCATTTTATTTTCTAAAGGCAGGAAATTTATTTCTACAGATGTATCTTCAGCTTTTTAAAAAATTGGCGTTGTTATGGCGTTAACAGCTATATATATGCATATATTTTTTTGAAACGTTTACAGTCACTTACTATAATTTGAATTTTTTCCCCATCATCATTAGTGTATGCATTTTTCTCCTTTTGAAATACATATTTTTGAGTTCATTTGATATAGAAAAAAGATACGTTTGATTTCTTCCAATTTAAGTTCACTGTTATTATTATTCTTCCAGCAGTTATTCTTTGACTCTGTTTGCCTTCCCAGCAATCTCGTTGGTACATGATTAGAAATGGAAAAGAGGTCATTTTGACTGTGTATCGAAAGGGATAAGGTAAATGACTGTATTTATTATTTTTCCAGTAATTATTCTTTTTTCTCTTTCGTGCAGTAGTAGAAAACGAAATCCAAGCAAGCATAGACCAGGTATTCAGCCATCTAGAGCGTCTGGAGATCTTGTCCAGCAAGGAGCCTCCTAACAAAAGACAGAATGCCAAACTGTGAGTACTCTGACACCCCAGGCCTATCACAGCAGGCCTTTCTCCCAGGGGAGGCCATCACATATTCTGAAAATCCCATTTATACATTGAAAAACTGAGACTATGAAAAGATAAAGTCCCATAAAGAGCACAATTCTGTTTTGAGTGGTACCCCCTCGGAGTAAAAAGCCTGTGTTGTATAACACGGGGAATAGAGCCAATGTTTTGTGATAACTGTGAATGGAGTATAACCTTTAAAAGTTGTGAATCACCATATTGTATACCTGTAACTTATATCATATTGTATATCAACTATACTTCAATTTAAAAAAAAAAAGTCAGGTTAGTGGCTCAGAAGCCTCATGTCTCCTTTTCTCGTTGGTGTCATTTAGAAATTTTGCCCCCAGTACTGTTTTTCTGACCAGACCCATGGCCACTTGAAACCTAATGCTACCGGGGAGTTTCAGTCTGCTCTTTGGTTCCCACTACATTCTTGGGTGGAAATATCTTGCTCTTAATCACTCCAGTCGGTGTATTTATAATGAAATACTGATCTAATGTTTGATACACCCCCATGAAATTAAAATGAAATCACCCTCACCATCTCTACCCCAGCCCCTGCTCCCAAAAGTTTTATGAAACTTCATAGATGCTTTACTCCAAAGATGCCCTTGGGCTTCTTCCAGGAGAGTGATATAACCCCTAGAAGGTCAGGAAGAGGTCATCAAACCTGCTTCCTGTCACCTGTTCCCTGTCATGCATCCAGAATCAGAGACCAGCAGATATTTAAGTAAAGCTGCTGGAATCTCATGTGCTACCACCCTGCTCTAACCACAAGCTCCTTCTTTACTTTCAACATCATTGATCAAAATCAGATTATTTGTGGGGGATGGATGGCATGGAGTGGTGTAGGGGGAAGTGAGGAAATGTCTTTTTTCCTGAAGACAAAGCCTGGCTACCTCCAATCGTTGCTGCTCTGGACTCCTGGAATTTAATCTCTCTGTCAATTCTAGTCGTGTCGACCAGTTAAAGTATGATGTCCAGCACCTGCAGACTGCTCTCCGAAACTTCCAGCATCAGCGATACGCAAAGGAGCAGCAGGAAAGACAGCGAGAAGAGCTTCTGTCCCGCACCTTCACCACTAATGTAAGCCAGGCTCCTGGGTGGGATCTGCGGGAACTCGACAGCTTGTGGGAGCTGCAGCTCAGGGCTCTGAGCGGCGGTCTTTTAGGGGGTGTCTGAAGCAGACTGATCGGACAGGAGGAGAGCAACCGGAAGTGACGGCAGACTTTGTGCGTTGCCACAGAGACTAGACCTAAGCGGGGAATCTCTTTCTCTGTCACAAAAACCTGAAGAGGAAGCAGTTAAATTGAGGGAACGAGCAGAGGTGAAAATTACCTGGTTTGACTGGTCCGATGCAGAGAGGTGGACATTCACATGGTGGAAATGTTTTCCTGATCAGATCGAGACAGATGATTAGAACTTAGGCTGTTTGCAGTGAGGGCAGCGTTTCAAAGCTGCCTTCAGGCAGTTGCCATTGGTGGGGGGGGGGGGGGGGG